CAAGTATCTCGTTTGTTGGTGTGGTTCATGAGTGTTTCTCGTTTCTCGTTTTTTATATAGATTAGACCGTTGGTTTTCCCGTTTGAATGGTTTTACACTAGTCATTTTGGAGCCCTTTATAGCTTGCTGTTCGGTGTGAGCAAAGGCGCCGTGTTGAGGGCCGTACTTTGACCTATAATCGTTAACTTTTTACATTGTGACTTGGATGTAGTGTTGTCTCATTGGCACTCATACCACATCTTCTTATTCATATTCATTGACTTCTATGGTTTTTACATTATAACCGCTCTAAACTGCTGGAGTTCAACTCTCCGATTAATAGGGATCTAGCGTGATATTACATACGTTTTAGGATATAGCAACAGAAGCACAATGAACAAAACCTATACTGTATAGTAAGAAATAAAAAGTTTCGGGATGACAAAATTAGAAACAACTCAAAAGAGAAAATCGGAATATCTGATTTATACTACAACAATAAACAAAAAACAATTTTTCGCCATAGCAATCAAGGAAAACCATGATATAACAGCGTCTTTGCTAGAAACAGGCATATAAGGAATGCTATTGGGATAAATATGTTTGTGAGCGCTAAAACCGCAAGTTATTAGGGAAAGTGAAGAAATAACACGACATAAGAACAAACTTTGAAAACCAGGTGAAACGGTACTAAGCACAAACACTTAGTACTGTGAATTTTCTTATAAGTATTTGTAGTCAAGTCTGTGGTATAAATAACCCTTAAAAAGTAAAATTAAGCCTAAAGCGAGGTAACACTTGAATTAAATTTTAGCAACATTCTATGAAATTGTAAAGGATGTAAAATGTTTATGCGTTGGGATGCAGCTAGAAATAATAAAGATATCAATTAAGTAAAGACTGAATGAATTTCTTTATGTTCATCGAATAAATAATCTTTTTTTAACTTAATGTTACCTTGGGTAGGTTGACCTAAATATAAACGAGGATCATTAGTCTGCAGCATAATACATTTTTCGAAATAGTAAACAGGTCATTTTGTGGGAATCAACTTGTATTTTAAGAAAAGAAAGAGAAAAAAATTGAAATCTTCACTATAATATTTTATGAGAATAAATGTATTCCTGTAAAAAAATCAGATCAAAGTTAAGGGTTATGTTTTAATAAATACGTTGTTATGAAAGATATTTGAGAGTCGCAATGAAAAACAAAGTTACAGTTTAAAACACAATCAAGAGGAGACATTTTTCCTGTTCAACCAGAAAAGCCAAACTGATGATTTTGCCAAAGGGTGGAAAAGATATAGCCGATAAAATGCAACTATCGTTCGTTGTTTGATCGTTATACTTAATGCTAAAAAAGTGGAAATTGCAAAGTTCTTTCATCTAGATTTCAAGTTTTTTACTTTTACTGTTTAATACCCGGCTATCAGTTTTATAATAACTAAACAAAGTTGGATGATTTTTCGTTTTTTATGAGTATATTGAAACGAAATACACCGTATTAGTGGAATATTTTTAATAAGTTGCATTAAAAGGCAAGTTAACGATCTTTTTGGATAAACACGATTTACTTGCATTTAATTCAATATATATTCGGGCAATCGATTTTTCATATTTTTCATAAAATAAATGTTAAAAACTTTGCTCTGTATTATCAGATTTGACATCCTTTTCATTTGCTAATGTAGAACGAACTTGATAACTATAAAATATGAATTTGAAAATGTATTCAGAACATTTACCGGAATATAGTCATCATTACTGTTAGCCCACGCCATCTGTCGCCATCCGGGGTCCGTCGCGGTCTTTTTACGTCATCGTCTCCATCGTTCGTTAATTAAATGACCAATACAAAACTAAACTTGCAACTCGTTCGGTATGCCCGTGTGTGTAGTGATGTCATAGATTTTAACGAACGTAATCAATGCATCACTGGTAAATAATTAAGTCAGGGATTTCGTTACCATAAATTACTTAAAACTTTTACTAATTAAATTCTTTCATAGATACAAAGATTTGATTAGTAAATTTGGCTGTACCTGTAGAAAACTAATTAAAAATGGTATTTCACATCCTAAATTTTACGGTAATATTGTACTTAAAGCGCGGAAATCACTATGTGATCCGTGTAAACTCATCGAACCTTTAAACAAACTTATTAATAAGGGTTATCGTACCAATGTTGTAATTAGATCTCTGAATATAGTTTACATTGGCACTAATATCGATTTTGTCATTAGCAAATTAAAACATAACTAAGTTTGTATTTTCTTTTCAAACGGGATGTATAGAGACACACACCCGTTCATTTTTATCTATAAAGAAGTCACTCCTAACTATCCTACTACCTGTCGATACATTTATTTTTGGCATTGCACAAGTCATGTCTTCTTTGACTGTTCATAACGTTAAAATACTAAATCCCTGGGACGTGTTTTAGTTGATTTTAGTCTCTGATGCATGATTTTTTATTATTAATTGTTTTTGGCTTTTAACTAGCTGTCAGTAACTGCTAGTACTCTCAAATCGTACTTTCTTGTTGGTTTGACCTGTTGATACTATTTGTAATGCTTTTTTGGTATTTGATGTTAACATGGATCTTGTCTATATACCAACTTTAATTATTTGGAAATACTACAAATTTTCACTTCTTCGTACTATGAACATCAAAATTATTTCATTTCTCCTTAAATACTGTTCTTGAACCTGTACAGGAAGTTTTATCTAGCACTAATTGTATAGTTTTATTGTTGATATTCACCCCATATGTACCAAGTGTTAGATTAGTTTTATTGATATTAAAGAAATTTCTTGGAATTCCTAAACGGAAGATTTTATACACACAGAACAACAAAATTATTTTCATTTATCTGTGTATAATTTGACGCAGGTTTTTTCAAAAGTGATGATTTTCTAAGTATTGTTTAACATTTCACAGTGGTATCATACTTTATAACTTTTTTAAAACCTGTTAATTACTATTGACCTTAATTATTTATCCCTTATAATTTTTATTAACTATGTATTTGCATTCAGGTATCACAGATCAAATTTATTCGTTCATTGTGGGTTAATTTGCGTTTTTTTGATTGAGTTAAGCCTTCCAATTGATATTCATAGTATGTATTTCTATGTTGTGATGTTATACTATTGTTTCAGAAAAGGGAGAAGGTTTGGTACCATTAAAACGTTTAATCCCGCTGCAAATGTTTGCACCTGTCCTAAGTCAGGAATCTGATGTACAGTAGTTGTCGTCTGTTTATGTAGTTCATACGTGTTTCTCGTTTCTCGTTTTTTTATAAATTAGACCTCTGGTTTTCCCGTTTGAATGGTTTTACACTAGTAATTTTTGGGGCCCCTTATAGCTTGCTGTTCGGTGTGAGCCAAGGCTCCGTGTTGAAGGCCATACCTTGACCTATACTGGTTTACTTTTATAAATTGTTACTTGGATGGAGAGGTGTCTCATTGGCACTCATACCACATCTTCCTATATCTATTGGTTCCTTAGTACATCTAGTTTAACAATGTGTTCGAAGATTCCTACTTCAAACCAAAAAGACTTAAGGCTTAAAAATAAAAAAATAAGCAGAAAAATTGCCTTATTTCTATAAAAAAAATGTAACATATGGAGAATATTTGTCAGGAACAAAAATTGTCAAAATATTAAGACCTATCCAATTTTCATTGCTACGAGAATACCTCTCATATTAGTTATTCTCCCATAATGACTATTTTGGCCAATTGAAACATCTTAATTTTTGTGTAAAAATTGCATGCAATGCAACCCAACCCTATCGTACTGTCTTGATATTTATATCTTCGATGGTTTATCACTACCTTTGATAGTTCAAACAAAATAGTGCAGTGAAGTGATCATTATGTAGATCCTCTCCAGTCAGTGTTATGCAATTTATTGATGATATGCTATACTTTGATATTTAAGTTACAATATGATGAGTATTTGAATAACCATATATTTTTTTTAATTAAAAATGGCATAAGTAATGCATGGTGTATGAAACTGTTATAAAAATAGGTTCGACTACAAATGTACAATAATGAACAAAGAAGATTACTCCAACTCAAATCTTTTAATTTGCCTAGCAAAAAACAATTCAATATTTAAAAATTCACAAAATTGCAAAATGAAAGCAATCTTTACCCTTCAGTGCTTACAAGCACTTTGATTTCATATGTAGATAGAAACTGTAGAAAGAAATGCAACAATCATCGACAAAACTGCTAAAATTGAATAAAACCGTCAGTTGACTACTTATATGAAAAACTCATCAAAGATACCAGGCCTATAATATGGAATGCCAGACGCATTATTGCACTTCAATGACCTTTGACAAATTAAAAAGATAAAGTAAGAAACTGTAAACAGCAAAAGTAATCAGCAATACAAGATCTTTGGAAAAGCCAAATGACTAAAACCATAATTTAACTCTATATAAGAGTGTTTGCTCTGAAACGACGATTTCTACTTTATGCGTTTTTGCTTATTATCTTGGAAAGTATAATAAAAATCTTGGAAAGTATAATAAACGAAACTACACATAAATAATGATGAAAAAAATTTACGAAAATGTTAAAATGACTTATATGGATTTATTTTTCTTCAAAGATTAAAACCATAAATTGCTTTCTTTTAAGAGTTATTGTCCTTAAATCACAATTTTTTGACATTTTTTATCTTTAAGGATACTTCTTGTAAGACCTCTATATTTTCTTTATTAGCTATTTATTTCAAAAGACATGTCTACAAATTATCTAATAGTATTGTCTTATTTAAACAACAGTACAGAACTGTTAAAGAGTTTACAATCCTGATGTATCGAAAAAGAAACTTTGTTAATTATATTTTCCATTGTCGTTTAACTTCAAAGTCACGTGAATTGATATTCAATAACGAGATTCCATTCTGGTATATAAGCTGAAAGATATATACTTTACATGCACAATAAAAATTAGTCATTTAAAGATCTTCCTGAAAGATTTTACTTCAACGATCCGGATTTCAAATGGAAACTAATTTTAGCTGTTTTAACACATCTAATAATGTAGACAAATCACTGACACCTGGACGAATAATCATTGGAACATTTCTCGTTTTAATTACGTCTTTTACTGTATTTGGAAATATCCTTGTTTTAGTTGCAGTTAAAAGAGAAAAACAACTTCAAACAAAGTTTAATACTTATATTGTTAATTTAGCGGTGACCGATTTAACTGTAGCTTTAACCGCCATGAGTTTCTATACAACTGATAATATCTTGGGATATTGGCCTTTTGGAAAGTTCCTCTGTGGAGTGTGGATTTTCAACGATTATGGAATGACATTTGCCTCCGTTTTTACTATAATTGTTATATCAATCGACAGGTTCTGGGCGGTTACATGGCCGAATCACTACAAAAACCACCATACAAAGAAAAAGTGTGCAGTATCAATTGCAGTTGTATGGTAAGTGCACATTGATATTTGTTTCACGTCATAATAAAGCAGTATGAAAATAAAGTTAATTTCATGAAAACGAAACTTGAATAATAAAAATAAATCCACAGTTATTGTTCCATAGTTTTTTTCTTATGACTAAATAATAAGAAGGGACTGCGTACGTTTAATCAATCAAGATTAATTATATTTTTTGAATATGCAATCTTTTTCAATTTATTATACTAACCTTGCATGAACCCTTTTTTTTATGTTGCTCAGACTGACAAGATATCCATTGAGTGAGTTTAGTATGCATATTTTTTATATCGTGATAATGCTTCATTGAGATTAATTCTAAAAACAACTACAATTATTTTAAACTTATGAACGATTGCTTGAATATCAATTTGTGAATCAAAAGTCAAAAGGTACACTGGATAACACATTTTCAGAAAGGCCAATGTAGAAATTTACTCCTACAACTCCTTAATCATTCACAGTAGAAGATGTTTAAGTACACGAGGTAGAATTGAAATTGAGAGAGAAAAAATCTGCTAAGAATGAATTTTCCAATTATCATTTGTCAAGACATATAGAGGACAATTGAATGAATATGTCTGTTCCTTTCATCTACAACTTTTTTTCAGGGGAAATTCCTATACGAAAGTATACTTAAGTACTTAGATTGTCGCTTGTGCTATTTATATTTTTTCTTTTAGAACACCATACAAATGTCTTTTTAACAAAACACTTTGTCATTAAACTGGTCATGGCATAGGTGTGCAGAACACGTTTTTACAACCACTTGATCGAAACCATTGCTGGTTGACGATGCTTTCCAGATGGTATCATATGACCAATCGTCAGTACCCCGATGTTAATATGTAGTATTATGATTATTCAATATCGGCCATTTTCTGTATATTTTCTTTTCTTTAAATTTGAGTTATTCGGAACACTTCCCCAGACATAGATGGCATAAAGATTTGGCATACACATTATATTTTACTTTTTTGTTCCTTTGCTCTACAACTTGGTCTTTGATTTGGCCTTCCAAACCCTGTTGAGTCTTACGTTGACATACGCCCCCGAATATATCATCAACTAAGGTGTAAGCACTCCTGGGCTGACAAGAATCATATATCATTGATACGGTCATATATTCTGTAAGTTTAAAAAATGTTGAATAATTCGAAACAATAAGGTTTTTCTACCCTAGACTTAGAAGGCCATTACAAGAGTTGGTATGGCTTCTTGGAACTTTTGGATTTAATGCTCTTAAAGTTCTTATTTGATTTGGCTTTCCAAAAGTTTTGATTCTAGCTCTACTGATGAATCTATTGTTTCCGACACGTGCGTCTTGCGTACCAAATTGTAAGCTTTGTATCTTTTATTATCTTTTTTCAACGACTGGCTCGAAATGTGTTGAATTGAAATATCATTGATATGGTTAATTTCTGTGAGCTAACAGTTTATGAAATGTAGAATGATTCGAAACACTAACTTGTCTGTTCAATTTTGCATTAGAATTGGCCTTCCAACAGTGTTTCAATGTTTCTGATGATAGTTTTGTGACCTAAACATGCGGTTGGAATACCAATTTATAAACCTGGAGTTTTACAACCACTGGGGTGATGCCACTGCTTGTAGTTGTTTCCATTTCCGAGTGTATCACAAGACAAGTAGCACTCTTGTGATGACATGAAATTTCATTGATACGGTAATTTTCTGTATATTTACTGTTTATAAAACGTTGAACTATCCGAAACCTTAGAGATTTCCTACCCCATGCATAGAACTTAGTGCTTGTATTCCTTAGCAAGAATTTTACAGCATTTTATTTTCGTAAACTATATGCTATATGTAGCACTCGATGCATGTATCAAGTGATAGAAATTACTAGTAAGTTTTGCGAAATAAACACCGTCGGTTTGCCTGATTTTATGAAATTCAAATCGGCTTAATAGTTTCCACATTTCTCTTACACTCTTGTCTGCATTTTACAATCTAATTACTATGTATTAGTTGTTTTTTTGCTAGTGCTTATTTTCAAAAGTTTTTTTTTCAAATGCATTAAGTATACTACAAATCATCACGAATAATTTGTTTCCAACGCAAAATATACAGTCATTATGATTATTTGGTCTTGTATTGTTTTTTTTTTCTCCTCTTCTTACTGGGCGGTTGTTTAATTTGTGTGTGTCTTACAGAAAAAAATCCTCAAAATTTTACTTCTAAAAATGTCCGATTGTCATAGTTTAAAACAAATGTAAAAGATACCAAAAACGGCAGATAAAAATCATAAATCGAAGGGAAACCAACACAACCATGTTAATAATAAGCCGTTACAATCACTATAATTGATATGGACAACAGAGTAAAAAGTTATTATTTTAAATTAAGGAATATACCTCCCTCGTGCAAAGCTCTACTTCCTTGTCCAGATTTGTCTAAAGTTTGGTGTTTTTTTTGGTTTGAACCGCTATTCACCATTTGTAGTAGATTTTGGATATCCAAGTATTTTGGCCTCGAGCATCACTGTAGAGACATAAATTGCCGAAATCCGCATATATTTCATTAAAATTGGTACTGTTTGTGTTATCATTTAAGTGCCTCTTTCAATTTAATTGAGAAACATTTAACACCGAGTACGTTAGTAATGTTGCTATCTATTGAATGATAAACTCTTACGTGCCATAGCTATTAAGGATTTTTTTTAAAGAGAATATGATGGCGTGTTGTTAAGCAGTGTTTATTAGCCTTTTGAATGACTATTTTCTTGATATCGGTCTCAGTAGTACATTTTTAGGAAATTGCTAATATAGGTATTGAGATATTCGTTGATTGCGTGAACTCTTGAGGGTCATTAGTTAGAAATATAGTCTATGGAGGAATATTAATTTTTAGTAAATTGCTAATATAGGTATTGAGATAGTCGTTGATTGCGTGAACTCTTGAGGGTTATTAGTTAGAAATATAGTCTATGAAGGAATATTCGGAAGCTAAATTATTGTTCATTCGGAACACCTATTCATCTTATCTGTACTAGCTTCCTGCAATTAAGAGCACCTCCATACGGTGTATCTAAGATATTTAAAACATGGCAATAAAGAATTTTCACAGATGGCTAATTCACTTATCTGATATATGATAATGAACAATCTATAGATGCTTTTCAAACATGTATATTTATTGTAAAGCTACATTTTACGCATTGCAAGGGTTTACTGACTTGAGGAAAGTTGACCATTGTACCCTTTGATAAACAAGCGAAAGTTAAATGGTCAAGATTTAATTATAACGACCTATGGTATCAAACATCTGTGTCTAGATATTCACAGAAAGATATTTTAAAATAGTGCTGCGGTTTCTACATAATGAGTTATAGTGGGCTTTGGGATTTGCTTTGTAACAATAAAATCATTATGCACACTTGTCATTTTGACAAATCAGATAAAAAAAATCTGCTTCAAATGAAAATAAAACAAGTAAAATAAAGACTGTTCGTTAATATACATTTTTACAACTTTTACTGTTTCCTTTTTACAGTATTCTCTATCAATTAAGTTATCTTGTAAGTTAATTAAATGTTTATTTAATTCATTGATGTCACTATTATTTCAGTGACCGCTGCAGAAAGTCTTGACTCGTTCAAGAGACTACTGCATGCACATTGAATTTCAAGTCCCATGTTTTTATTTGCACAGTTATGTACAGCACAAATTATTTCCTTTCTGTTAAAATAATTTTTGGACTTGTTAATAAAATTGAGAATGGAAATGGGGAATGTGTCAAAGAGACAACAACCCGACCATAGAGCAGACAACAGCTGAAGTATGCAAGCGCACACCAAACAGTGACAGGATAGTCAACCAAATGACGGTGGTCACTTAGTGGTAGAAGTAGAAATTTCTTTTATTATTCACACACTGTAATGCTCTTAAATTTATGTGTGTTTTGAATGTGCACTAGTGATTGGTAAATATTGATACGTTTCTGTGTTTTTAATATATGTGACTTAACATCAAGAATTCCATTATTATGGAATCGTTCACTTTTGTACACTTCGGTATCTAAATAGAGGGTGGTAAAAGGGAGGATCTGAACACGGAAACACGTGAAATAACAAATCGCAAAAACGTTGCACGAAAAAAAAAAACACTCTCGAAAAACGAAGCCAAGGAATTAAATCGTAAATAATTAGGAAAAAAGTATCAAAAGTTATTACTCAGCCGTTCTTGGAGATCATGCAGTCATTATAAATGGACATGGCGACCCTGCATGTGGTCACCTTTTAGCGTTCGTTAATTGCATCCGATTTATCATAGTAATACAATAGGCTATCAATAAATATCTTGGGACCAGATAATTAGTTTATAATTTAAAACAATATTTGGGCTGACTTTGAATTAGTCCCGGTTTACTTTTTTACCAAATGCGGGACAAGCACGAGAAAATAAGAGTACCGACACGAAACACGGAAAATAATTAAGGGAAAACACGAAGCACGCTCATCGATCCAAACACGAGAAAACGAGAAATAAAACGTCGAAACACGGAAACACGTGAAATAAAAAGGCCAAAAACGTTGCACGAAAATAACCCTTAACCACTCTCTAAATAGGCCATACTAGATGTTCTTAGAATCAATTTAACAAATGCAGTTAAATCTATTTTGTTGAGAATCTTTAAAGTATATTCTCCTGTGTATCAATAAATTCTAATGCATTGGTAACAGTTTCTTCTAAATTATCAATGATCATATTTGTGTTCATTGACGTACATCACAGGCAATAAGAATGCATACTTTTTTACCTCGTGTGACTCTATTTTATTAATGATTTTTTTTTGTATCTTATGTAAAAGTTATGCCTCTTCAATAATTGGATGTTGGATATGTACTAATTGATGATTTAATATTTTTTTAATTAGTTGTTAGTGGCTTTGAACTAGCTGCCAGTAACTGCGAGTACTCTCAGATCTGTACTTAGTGTCTATTTGTTGTTGGAATATACAAGTACCCGGCC